TGCCCCAACCAAACATTATGAAACCTATACACAATACTTATAACCTTAAAACTCAGATCAAGTACAAATTTGGGTAGCGTCACTTTTATCGTTCTTGAGTTATTTCCCTTTATAATGGTGTATGCAAGCGGTGGCATCATCTGTGTCCATGGGGACATATTCTCCATTTATTATTACAAGTTTTCCTGTCAGTCTAAGATGGCAAGTAACATATCAAACATTATTTCAGGCAATTGAACTCAAACTTATCTATAAATAAGAAAATGTGGTATGAGTGCTAATGAGACAACTCTCCATCCAAGTCACAATGTAAAAAAGTAAACAATTATAGGTCTAAGTACAGCCTTCAATACAGAGTCTTGGCTCACACCGAAGAGCAAGCTATAAAGGGCCCCAAAATAACTAGTGTAAAAACAATTCAAACAGGAAAACCAACGGTCTAATCTATATAAAATACGAGAAACAAGAAACACTATGAACCACACCAATAAACAAAAACCACTGAACAACAGGCTCCTGACTTAGGACAGGTGCATACAAATGCAGTTGGTTTAAACATTTTAAGAAGGGCCAACCTTCACCCTAACCTGAAACAGTTGTGTAACATTACAACATAAAAAGACACACTATAAAATATCAATTGAAAAGGCTTAACTTGATCAAAAAGACATAAACAAAAACATGTTAACATACACTGAACGCATAAGTTTGATCTATGACATAACATAAATATAATATTAATAAAAAAGATATAGGAACAATGTCAAAAAGACAACTGTCATATTTTCTTCTTCTGTGATAGAATACTTGAGGTTCCCTGTATACATTGTATCTACACTGCACATGTACTTAATATGAATCAGTTGGGGAAACTATCCTTAAAGTTGTTTGAATGTATTTGTCATAATGCTGTGTATAACTTTCTTTCATAGATTTTGGCTCAAATCCATTCAGTGGTTTTGGAAGATTAGATCCTGATATTTCAATGAAAACAGAAATTTCAGAATCTTCAATCATACTAAATTCTCATCTTTGAAACACTGTATGCGAATGCAGAAATCAAATATAAAATATAAAATTGAATTAAATATTTTCAGTAGGTTAAAGATATAGATTGCAGAATTTAAAGCTTGGACAGATGAACAAATGGACATGTTGAATTGCTCCTAGTATTATTTGATAATCATATGAACCATACATAATATTAATTTAATATGTGAAACAGTTCTGTATTTACAGAGCTATAACAATTGTATCATACTTCATTAGCACATTTAGATCATTTGTTTTTATACGACTGCACTTTTTTTTGCGTCCGCATTATGTTAAAGCGATGTTCAAAGACATTTTGGTTCGCAGACAATAACTTGAGTATAAGTGTATGGATCTCTATGAGATTTAAGCACAAGGTTCCATACCACTCAAGGATGGTTGGAATTGTTTTTGGGGGGTATTGTCCTAACTTTTTGTAATTAGGGGCCAAAAAAGGTCAGTGTCACTGGTTCATAGAAAATAAATTGGTTCGCAGACAATAACTTTAGTATAAGAGTATGGATCTGTATGAAATTTTAGCACAAGGTTCCATACCACAATAGAAGGGTTGGATTTCAATTTGGAGGTTATTGTTGTAGCTGCTTTGTAATTAGGGGCCAGAAAGAGGCCAAAAACAATTATTTGTCTGGTTTTAAGACAATAACTTGAGTATAAGTGTATATATCTCTATTAAATGTAAGCACATGGTCCCACACCACAATAGCAAGGTTAGGATTAATTTTGGGGGTTATTGTCATATCTGTTTAGGAATAAGGGGCCAAAAAGGGCCTAAAAAAACAATTATTTGTCTGGTTCACAGACAATAACTTGAGTAAAAGTGCATGGATCTCTATTACCACAAGGTTCCATACTTCAAAAGGAAAGTTGGGATTGATTTTGGGGGTCTTGGTCCAAACTGTTTAATAACTAGAGGTTGAAAAGGGGCTAAAAAACTAGGATTTTCTGGTTTCTGGTCAATAACTTGAGTATTAGTCTATGGATTGCTATTTAATTTTGCCACAAGGTGTTATACCATGAAAGGAAGTTTAAGATTGATTTTAGGGGTTATGATCCTAACGATTTAGTTAAAAGGGGCCAAAAACAATACTTTTGTAATACTTTGTATAAATTTCTTATTTCTTTAGCAATTATAATGGGGTTTAATTCAAAGTCTTGAATTTTTGGGGTTCTTTAATATGCTGAATCTAAGCGTGTATTTAGATTTTTGATTTTGGGCACAGTATTCTGATGGTCTAAATTGGGGTCCAAAATTGAACTTTTTTTTATTTCATCAAAAAATGAATAATTGGTGGTCAATGATATGCCCAATCTAACAGTGTTTTAGATTTTTGATTTTGGACCTGGTTTTCAAAGTTGGTCCAAATTGGGGTCCAAAATTAAAGTTTGTTTGATTTCATCAAAAATCAAATTATTGGTGTTCTTTGGTGTGCCAAATCTAACCATGTTTTAGAATTTTGTTTTTTGGTCCATTTTTCAAACTGGTCCACATAAAGTTCCAAACGGTAAAAAATTAAACATTGTTTGATTAAAAAAAATAGGAATTATTGGTGTTCTTTGATATGCCCAATCTAACCGTATTTAGATTTTTGTTTTTTGTGCCCAGTTTCCAAGTTGATTCAAATCAAACTTTGTTTGATTTCAACAAAAATTTAATATATGGGGTTCTTTGATATGCTGATTCCAACCATGTATTTAGATATTGGATATTGGACCATAACAAGGCTCTAGCAGAATCCCCCCCCCCTCCACACATCCCTTCTTAATATTTTAGGACAAATTTAATTAATTTATCATTTAGTCATATTTGAAACAACATTCTAATTCTGAGCTGACCAGTCTTTGCAGTTACTCATTAATGTTTTGTGCTTAGCAGCTAAGCAGCAAATACTAATCTTATTTTGTCTTGACTTAGGAACCAGCCACCTCCCACCCTATTTGTTATATAAACAACCTGTTTGTATAAGAATACAATTAATAAGCATGAAAGTAATTACTTTTCTGCTTTCTTTCTTAGTTTTTCATAATGTGAAATCTCCATCTATAACAAAAGCTGTAGTCAGGTAGTTTTTACATTGTTTGGAGTCATTTATGAATATGGATAAGTGTTTTGTATTTACTATTTATTTGTTCATGCACAATTACCACCTAATATCCAGAAAACAAAACATGTGGTATTGTTCAAATAACACACTTATAATTGGAATGACAAATTCATTTGAAAACATTGTGTTTTCTAAGTGGTCTGGCTGATAAGCTGATTTTAAATCCATCTTCATTTTGATGCTATTTCTTGGGGATAACTGTAGGACTGTATTAATGGGGAATGATATTCTGGAAATTGTTTTTTTCATTTTTTTGTAAATTTTTTGAAGAACTTCGTGATAGGTTTATTTGTTATTCTGTATAAATCACTTTTCAGAAAGCTATATATATAAATATATATATTTCTTATATGGGTGAAGCAAACTCCTTTAAAAACTTAGCTCATATTGTCCATTAATAAATAAATTGATTAAATTCTTGGTGTACTTTGATATGCTGAATCTGTCCAAATCAGGGTCCAAAAAATGAATATATGGGGTTCTTTGATATGCTGAATCAAACCTTGTATTTAGATTATGGATTTTTAGGACCCTATCAAATTGATCCACATTGAGGTCCAAAGCATCCAAAATTAAACTTTTTGTTTGATTTCATCAAAAATTAAATTCTTGGTGTTCTATGATATGCTGAATCTAACCATGTATTAGATTTTGGATATTGGACCAAAATAGGTAAAAGTCCAATTTCAAAATTTTCAGTTCTTTGACCACATTTATTTTATGTAAGAAACCTATGATGTGTCAAATATTTAATCACAGTCCAAATTCAGAGCTGTATCAAGCTTGAATGTAGTGTCCATACTTGTCCTAACTGTTCAGGGTTCGACTTCTGCGGTCGTATCAAGCTACGGTCGGGGGGGGGGGGGGGGGGGGGGGGGGGGGCATTTTATTATCCTTAAAAAGATATTAAGAGTTGATGGTAGATCTTCATTAGTTTCAGTCGCCTGCAATATGCATGAAATAATTGCATAGTGAACTTTAAGAAAGCAAAAATCAATCAATCAGTAGTGTTGGTAACATTTTGTCTAGATTCATCAGATTATTAACTGACATATGTACAGAGACATATATTATTACAGATCATATGTTAACCTCTACTTGGTCTGGGGGACTTTTTGTAATGTTGGGTTACTGTTTCATGAACATTTGCCTCAAATCTTCTTTAGTTTATATTCTAGCAATAAGTGGCTTTATGCCCAAGAAAAGACAAATAATCTGAAGACCTGAATTAAGATGACATATAAATCTTGTGAATTCAAGAAGACCTGAGTTGAGATGACACATAAATCTTATGAATTCAAGAAGACCTGAATTAAGATGACATATGACATATAAATCTTATGAATTCAAGAAGACCTGAATTAAGATGACATATAAATCTTAGGAATTCAAGAAGACCTGAATTAAGATGACACATAAATCTTGTGTATTCAAGAAGACCTGAATTAAGATGACACATAAAACTTATGAGTTCAAGAAGACCTGAATTAAGATGACATATAAAACTTGTGAATTCAAGAAGACTTGAATTAAGATGACATATAAATCTTAGGAATTCAAGAAGACCTGAATTAAGATGACACATAAATCTTGTGAATTCAAGAAGACCTGAATTAAGATGACACATAAATCTTGTGAATTCAAGAAGACCTGAATTAGGATGACACATAAATCTTGTGAATTCAAGAAGACCTGAATTAAGATGACACAAAAAACTTATGCATTCAAGAAGACCTGAATTAAGATGACATATAAAACTTATGAATTCAAGAAGACCTGAATTAAGATGACATATAAATCTTGTGAATTCAAGAAGTCAATGTGTATTGACAAGATAACTCAAAATTGGTTTTATACAGAAATATTTTATTTTCTATTTCATATGAAATAATGATTGTGCTTTACAGCATCATGTATAACAAAAATTCATTTATCCTGATATATAGTCTGTGTTGCACAATACTTTTACCCAGACTTTCTTTAGACAGAACGTCTATGCAGTGTTATTCAATTTTTTCAACCTAATTTAATTAATAGTTATTCAAACCTCTTTACACAATACAGTACTAATAATTTATAAATAAATTTGACTGGTTACTGAAAGAGCCAATCAGTTTTCTTGGAAAAATATCTATTAACATTTGATCACATGCAAAAAATTAATCTCAGCATTGTGATGTCTGCTTGGCACATATTTTTACAAAATTTGGAAAAAATAGGGGGTGCTGATAAGTAAAACATGTATTCAGATTTACTTAAAAAATCAAGCAGGAACATCTTTAACATTCATTTGTTTTCAATTTAAAAGGCTCTCACAAACATGTGAAAACGTTGAGCCTAAATACCAACCTTTATTTCACATGATGCTTAAAATTATCTTATTTCTTTAAGAATATATCATCTTCTGCTAGACCCTATCTGTTCTAACCTTTGTATTTATTTACATTGTATATCAGATTTATCAAAATAAAATAGTGCTATAACTAGAAATTTAATGATCTATCTATTGACCTTACATAATTATTAGTATGTAGTAAATAGTATCTAAGAGAATGTTGGTTTATAAGTTATAAGGTAAGTCAATCATAGTAATAATTGAAGAAACATATCATTTATTAGTGTATTGTGCACAATTTTTTGTTTACACTGTAGAGAATTAGAAGAAAAAACAAAACACATCCCTGATGCAAAAAAAAAAACAAGTAAAAATTTATTATTGCTGCTTAACGATAATAAAGCAAATCTACCTACATTAAATAAACAAACCACTAATTACCTACAGATGATAGTACTAAACCTTAACAGAAACTTAATTTTCATATTTGCATGTGTCAACCTATTAGTAAATATGATACAAAATATTTCCAAATAATGCATAAAAATAAAAAGGAATAGGTTATATCAATAAACAACATATGTGTTAGCTTGAAAAACAACTGTCTCAAAATGTGTAGCCATTCAATAAAAAAATTCTGAATTGCATGTTTATTACTGAATGCAAAAATTTGAAAATGTGTCCACCTAAAACTTAAGTCCACATTTCAATTATTTGATGGAGACAGTATTGATAAATAAAGAGGATGGTTTATATAGACATGAAAAATTGCAATATCTGTTATTGAAATTTTGTGTCAATACTAATTGAAATATGAGGTAATTTACATACTGTTTAACAGTAGCAAATAATCATTAAACAAATGCAATTATATTGTGATGAAAACATCTAAACTGACATGCAATCAAACAAATATAAAACAAAAATATGTTACAAGTCTTAAATAAGATTCAGTAATTCAAAAAATTCAATCAAAGCTGTGTTATGTAAAATTTATCTAGTGATAGTAAATGTTTACACAATGCAAGGGTTTTAAACGAATGTAGTCGTCACCTACATGTTTAGTACAATACAGCAATATGTGAACATATGGAATTATGTCACTCCTATAGCACCTAGCAAATTAAACCAGATACCAAAGTTGTACACCCATTCTCATTCTGTACCATTCTCTCTCTCTCTCTCTCTGTTTCTCTCTCTCTATCACAATAAAACTTTGATACCTTCAACACTATTACTCTTCTAATTCAATTTTTAAACCAGCTAAGACAAAATATGAGGTAAATCTCTGTATGAAACCCCGGTTTTATACTAAGCTGAAAAAATTCTTAGTATTTATAAGAAATACATTTTTTTAATCAATGATCTATGTCTGCTTTTAGTTCATACAGAAATATCACAGAAGTTCCTATTTCATTACATTTTAACATTATTTGTACTTCCGAATATTTTTTTTAATATACAAATCTAATTTTTATTTATGGTAAAATAGAAAGCAGTTGTCCCTCTATTTTGAATATCACTCAAGCTTCTAATCAACATGGATAATGATTTAATCTGTTCATGATCTTGTGAATGTTTTAAGTCTGTATCATTCTACTCATCTCATGCAAGCTATAACAATGACTAACAATAAACTGAGAAAACTTAAGATATTGTGTGCTATCCATCTTCTTTTGGAGGCGTAAACCAGCCTATAATAATAAAAATTAAAAAACTCATATTAGTATTTTAAATCTTTGTATCAACTTATTTATGTATTTATAAATGTTTTAATAAACACATGTATTTGTTAGGACATTTATCATATAATTAAGGAGTACTCAGTACTGGTCATTGAGTATTTCACAAGTTAAAATAAGTAGTTAGAACTGTAACGGTAAATCAATGTTTTATTATGTTTTATTTGACGCTTGCTTTCTGACAGTCCAGTCCGGTTATTTCTGCTTCGATATGGCCAAACATACAGAAGAAAGTCTACTATGCAGGACGACTTGCTGCCTGATAAAAGTAGAGATGGTACAACCAGATCATCTTCTGATAGAGATTTACATGACACTTTCTCACTATATACAAACTGTAGTTCAGTGATTGTCGTTGTTTCATGTCCATCATATTTGTTTTTCGTAAATTGTTTTGTTATAATTAGGCCATTAGTTTTCTCATATGTTCATGTTTCATATTTTTCATGCCAGGGCCTTTTATAGATGACCATACAGTATGGGTTTTTTTCATTGTTGAAGGCCATACGGTTGCCTATAATTGCTTACATCCACTTCATTTGAACTTTGGTGGATAGTTGTCTCATTGGCAATCATAAGACATCTCCTTATTTTTATATTTTCATGGATGAGTACATTGATTATGTTGAATACAAGTTGGTACAAGAACAAGACACAATGTCGAAGAAGATAAAAGAAAAAGTTTCCATCAAGTTCAAACATGAACAAAACAGAATCCAGTTCAGGTTTAATTAGGAAACTGAAATATAAATAGCTATTGATGAGAAGTAGTAAATCTCATAACATGAACCAGTGTGTTCCATCCATGCACCTTTATCATCCTATGTATGAAATAACTTCAAAATTATTTTTTTTAATTGAATTAATTTTTTATAGATTCCTTACCATTTTTTTCATGTATCTGAACTAAAGATTTGAAAGACTGTTGGGCTCTTGCAAGACTGTATTGGTTCTGAAAGAAAGGAAAGGAAAATAAAATGTCTAATTCACCATCACCAATTTTGTTCTAATGATCATTTTACTTTACTGTGTCATTCCTATGACTTGGTGTTATGAGGAAATATCTTAAGCTATTCCTGTAATCAAGTGGCAACACAAGTCATAATATTTTCAATTTCATACTGGTAAAAGTGTTTTAATATGGCTGAAAATTGTTTTTCTTTTGTAATTAGTCACGTAATTATTTTGTGTTTTATGATTAAATGTCTAAAATCATGTAGTTTTAAAGGGGCAAATTTGCACACATGAATATTGCCTAGAAAAGAAAACCATATGTTGGACTTGTGAAAAGTCTTTATTTTTTCTACATCATTAAATTAAGTTAAATTTTTTTAAATCAAAATTGCTGAATAAGGTATGAAAAAATGAAGTGAATCATTTGAACTTGGATCAATAGTCTTCTGTCAGGTGTGAACACAGCTTAAAGTGATCAGATATCATGAGGAGGCTCTTTCAGATAATACAAAAATGAGATACAGTTTTACCAATAGAAAACACCCAAAAATGCAATTTCTGACAAAAGGGTGTTGGAAATGCATGATCTTTATAAATTTCGGCTGAATTATCGATTTGTATTTCACTGATTTCTATTTAAAATTGGACATGACTGACCAATGTGACCATTGCCAGGTCGTTGTATTCAACAGATGCATTAAAGTTAAACTTTTAAGAAAACCAAGGTGAGTCAATCTCCTGGAGACCAAGTTTATCAATTACTTATTTCAAGGTGTTTTACCAAACAATCATGGTTTTCTTTACAAATTAAAAACTGATCCTCATGAAATTCTTCAATGTATAAAAAGTAAATTAATATGTCTATATAAATATTTTTCAAATAACAACATTATAACATTTCTAACCTTGGGTGCTCCAAACTGAATTCGAGCTTTCCCTTTGACAAGTGTGGCTGATATCTGTAGTATGACAGATTCTATATTGTAGGCACTACTCCAACCCTGTAATAATTGTTTCAAAACAATTTATCATCTTTATGCAAACACTTCATAATAAATAATTTTTACATTATACACAAACCTGATATTCTCTTTTGCTTTTATGATATTACAAGCCAAGCAAATGGCTGGCAAATAGTGGGGAAATAATTTATTACTAAAGTCGTGGGGAAAAGCAATAGTTTATTGGTGTAAATTAATACGTTTAAGTATTAAATTTCCTAGTTTATGAAATATAAAACCCACAAGAAATTATAAGCTTTTGATGACAATACTATTATAGTCATTGTTGTTGTTAAATATGAACAGCTAACTCCCACAGCAGTAAAACCTTTTCCATACTGAATAAAATGCTTCGCTGGGGCGCAGCTTGATACGACCGCAGAGGTCGAACCCTGACATTTGGGGCAAGTATGGACACAACATTCAAGCTTGATACAGCTCTGAATTTGGATTGTTATTAAATATTTGACACAGCATAGGTTTTTGACACAGAAAGAATGTGGTCTAAGATCTTGATTTTTTTTTAATTTACCTATTATGGTCCAATGTCCAAAATCAAAATACATGGTTAGATTCAGCATATCAAAGAACCCCATAAATTCATTTTTTGTTAAAATCAAACAAAGTTTAATTTTGGACCCCAACTTGGACAAACTTGAAAACTGGGCCCATAATCAAAAATCTAAACACATGTTTAGATTCAGCATATCAAAGAACCCCAAGAATTCAATTTTTGCTAAAATCAAACTAAGTTTAATTTTGGACCCTTTGGACCTTAATGTAGACCAATTTAAAAAACGGGACTTAAAATTAAAAATCTAAATACACGGTTAGATTTGGAATATCAAAGAACCCCAATAATTCAATTTTTTGATGAAATCAATCAAAGTTTAATTTTGGACCCTTTTGACCTCAATATGAACCAATTTGATAGTGGGGCCTACAAATAAAAAATCTAAATACATGGTTAGATTCAGCATATCAAAGAATCTCATATATTCAATTTTTGTTGAAATCAAACAAAGTTTAATTTTGGACCCCAATTTGGACCAACTTGAAAACTGGGCCCATAATCAAAAATCTAAATACATGTTTAGATTCAGCATATCAAAGAACCCCATATATTCAATTTTTGTTGAAATCGAACAAAGTTTAAATACTGGACCCTATCTTGGACCAACTTGAAAACTGGGCCCATAATCAAAAATCTAAACACATGTTTAGATTCAACATATCAAAGAACCCCTAGAATTCAATTTTTATTAAAATCAAACTAAGTTTAATTTTGGACCCTTTGGACCTTAATGTAGACCAATTTAAAAAACAGGACCCAAAATTAAAAATATAAATACACAGTTAGATTTGGAATATCAAAGAACCCCAAAAATTCAATTTTAGATGAAATCAAACAAAGTTTAATTTTGGACCCTTTTGACCTCAATATGAACCAATTTCATAACGGGGTCCACAAATAAAAAATCTAAATACATGGTTAGATTCAGCATATCAAAGAACCCCATATATTCAATTTTTGTTGAAATCAAACAAAGTTTAATTTTGGACCCTAATTAGGACCAACTTGAAAACTGGGCCAAAAATCAAAAATCTAAATACATGTTTAGATTCAGCATATCAAAGAACCTCATATATTCAATTTTTGCTAAAATCAAACAAAGTTTAATTTTGGACCCTTTGGACCTTAATGTAGACCAATTTAAAAAACGGGACTTAAAATTAAAAATCTAAATACACGGTTAGATTTGGAATATCAAAGAACCCCAATAATTCAATTTTTTGATGAAATCAATCAAAGTTTAATTTTGGACCCTTTTGACCTCAATATGAACCAATTTGATAGTGGGGCCTACAAATAAAAAATCTAAATACATGGTTAGATTCAGCATATCAAAGAACCTCATATATTCAATTTTTGTTGAAATCAAACAAAGTTTAATTTTGGACCCCAATTTGGACCAACTTGAAAACTGGGCCCATAATCAAAAATCTAAATACATGTTTAGATTCAGCATATCAAAGAACCCCATATATTCAATTTTTGTTGAAATCGAACAAAGTTTAAATACTGGACCCTATCTTGGACCAACTTGAAAACTGGGCCCATAATCAAAAATCTAAACACATGTTTAGATTCAACATATCAAAGAACCCCTAGAATTCAATTTTTATTAAAATCAAACTAAGTTTAATTTTGGACCCTTTGGACCTTAATGTAGACCAATTTAAAAAACAGGACCCAAAATTAAAAATCTAAATACACTGTTAGATTCGGCATAACAAATAAATAAATGTGATCAAAGATTTTACAAATCTAATGCGCCATACTGTGCAATTAAAGATTACTTCTTGAAATTTTTCAATATTTGAAATTTGAAAAAAAAAAAATATTTGAAGAATAATTCTTTTTTATTTCTGAAATCTGAAATGAGAAAAAATTGACCCCCGACAATTTCTTTTTATCCCCCCCCCCTTTTTTCCCCCAAAAAATTCTTTCCCTCAAGATATGGTCATAATCTCAATTCAAATTTCCAATGGAGTTGGCAACCATAATTACCCATTTAAATTTACCATAGTGCTAACTTAATCTATTTTATAATAGAATTAAAAATATAGTGTCAAATCTTTCATATGGAATTTTTTGTAAAAAAAAAAGATGCAACATTTGCAGATATTTTTACTGGTCTTCCTTTATAAATATGCATTTCTTTAAACATAATTTAAAAGCAGTGTAAGGGAAGTAACCAAAACGTTGTATTTGGATTACCTCCCTTACACTGTTTTAAATTATCTTTATTGTTCATTAACCATTACTTTATACATAATTTAAAAGCAGTGTAAGGGAGATAATTTCAATGATGTATTTGATTTATCTCCCTTACACTGCTTTAAATTATGTTTTGTACTAAAGTATTTGTCCATTAACCAGGACAACCTTGTTTTTCCCCCTTTTTTGCCCCTAATTCCTAAACGGTTTGAGCCATAACCCCCCAAAGCAAATCCTAACCATCCCTTTGTGGTATGGAAACTTGTAGTATAATTTCAGAGAGATCCATACACCGTTCCACAGTTATTGTCTGGAAACTAGAAAATGCTTATTTTTGGCCCCTTTTTGGCCCCTAATTCCTTAACTGTTGGTACCATAACCCCCAAAATCAATCCCAACCTTCCTTTTGTGGTATTCAACCTTATGGTAAAATTTCAAAAAGATCCATTCACTTAAACTAAAGTTAGAGTGCGAAAACCAATGTGTCTTCGGACGACGACGCCGGACGACGACGACGCCGACGACGCCAACGTCATACCAATATACGACCACAAAATTTTTTTGCGGTCGTATAATAATATTGGTTATGGCATGAAAATTGTATCAAGTAGAATATTAAATTGCAGTATTTTGCAAGTGCAATTGATACTAGAAGAGGGATAGTATTAACAAATATTGGTTCAATAACCCTTTTATTGTATGGAAAAACTTACAAAAATAAAATCATGTGCAGCGAACTTCAACATCCCCTTTTGCAGTGATACTGCAAATAATGGTTGCTAATGTTTGGTTATGTTTTACAGGGGTTACTGCTATAAACAATAATGTCCTATATTTTTTCTTTTCAATATGATTTGAACACTTTTTTTTATTTTATGGGAATATAATTTTAATTATATGCACATATTGATTTTTTTTTGGACATGTCTGATAAATCCAGTGTTTTATTGGTGTAAGTGCCTATGCATCATATACCTGTCTATTGAGAAGATCCATACATATATTGCTCAACCACCAAGGACATTGATTGATTGATAGATTGGTGTTTAATGCCATTCTCAGCATTTTTGTGCTATTTTGTGGCAGTCAATTTTAATTAAAGGAGGCTGGAGTGCACTGAGAGAACCACCAACCTTGTATATAAAAGCTGACAATCCTAGTCAATTAAGATTGAGGTCAATTGCAAATGCCACCAAGGACATAACCACCTTGTACTACAGGGGTAACAAGTCTTTCAAAGGGTGGCTCACACGGGAAATTATCATACCTGTCTAGTAAGAAGCTCCATACATATTGCTTCATTACCGAAGACATAATCACCTTGTTATACAGGGGTAACAACTCTTACAAATGGTGGCTCACACAGGAAATTATCATACCTGTCTAGTGAGAAGCTCCATACATATTGCTCCACCACCGAGGACATAACCACCTTGTAATACAGGGGTAACAACTCTTACAAAGGGTGGCTCACAGGGAAAATTATCCTGAAAAAAAGAAAAAAAGATTAAAACCTCAAGTTACCATTGGACATTAGGCAAGTAACAATCAATAAATCAAAACTAAAATAATCATTCTTTTAATACCATATTCTGTGATACTAGTTTGTGGAGGTATAAGTAATAGAAACGGTTGTGTTTTTAAGTTGGATTCCATCTGTTTTAACTTTTTGTTTTGTGTAATTGTACCCATATTAAACATACTGTTTGTGTCTATCTATAAAAGATAATACTTTATAAGTGCCAACTATTTTGAGCAATTACTATAATACATGTACTGTATTCAAACTAAATTTGTTTGTTAGAGCTAATTTCCTTATGCTTGTAGAATAAGACTTTGGTTGCCTTGCTTGCTTTGTTTGTATAGATGTCTGCTCAAGCATTGTAATTAAGATTATCTTCAAACAATAGAAATTGGTGGAGTTAAACCTGTATACTTTTATATTTAGATTCCTCACCTCCAGGAAATCAACCAATCAAATTGAAGTATAATGTATACAGGTTTAACTCCACCCATTTGTATTGTTTGAAGATAATCTTAATTACAATGCTTGAGCAAACATTAATACAAACAAAGCAAGCAAGCCAACCAAAGTCTCAATCTACAAGCATTAGGGAATTAGCTCTAAAAATTGACAATATACAGGTTTTTCACATATTCTAAATATGCACTGAATTCAGGATCCTTTTTATCTGCTTTTAAGTCTCAATACTTACTTTATAAGTAAAGTTTAATAATATATGATCTCTTCCCATTTTTTCCTTATAACTTTCAAGATCTCCATGAAGTGTGCTATCAGGATCAACCCTGTTGTAAATATATAAAACTTTATGACAAATTCAAAGATTTATTTATTAAAAATAGATACATTCAATGACTATTATTTTCACTGATTTTTAAAACTTTTAAAAACAAAACCTAAAAAAAATAGAATGAAATATCTAGAGATTTAATATTATTAAATTCTTTAAAATTATTAAATAAAAGAACAGAGTTCCAATGTCCCCAGCATTGCACATATTCTATCTATCCAAGGTACAAGGGCAATAACTAAAAAAAGTACTAGTTTTTTAGTTCTTTAAAACTTTTAATATCTTATTAAAAAATGAAGGCTTTAGAGCAAATGCAATATGATTTCCAATATAATTAATATTTCCAAGGGGCACAACTCATTAAAAATATTTGATCAGCATTCATTTTCAAAAATGTCAAAGACAACCGTGATATAAACCTCAGATATAAGTTTCATAAAATTCTGGCAATAATTGTACACATATAAACGTTGACGATGCAATTTGCCATATAATCAATATTTCCAAAGGGGATAACTCTTTAGAAGTTATTGATTGTCACTGATTTTCAAACTTGTCAAAGACATTGCAAATATAAACCTATGATTTAAGTTTCATAAAACTCTAGCAAGAAGCGTACAAATGAGAGCTCTAACAATGCACATTTCCATATATTTGTTGTTTCCAAGGGACATAACTCTTTTAAAAATAATTGATCGGCACTGATTTCCTAACTCGTCCAAGACATTGCTGAAATAAACCTATGATATGTTTTATAAAAATCTGGCAAGAATTGAACACATGAGAGTGTTAACAATGCAATTTTCCATATAATTAAAGTTTCCAAGGGGCACAACTCTTTTAAAAATAAATGATTAGCACTGATTTTCGAATTTGTCCAAGACATTGCTGATATAAACCTATGATATAAGTTTTATAAAAATCAGCCAAGAATTGTACATGTTAGAGCTAACAAGAATGGAAGAACGGATGGACAGACGGACGGACGACCAGTGTTTCTATGTCACCCGCAACGCATTGCACTGGGACAAAAAAAAACATGGACTTTTTTAAAAGAGAGTCATATTAGAATAATAAGGTTACCAATTCCTTCGTCAATAAAATTGTTTTTTAACCAGTATGAAAATATACGATTGAACAGTTGTTGTTAAACCAGATAAAACAAATTAATGTCAATTCATCAAAGTTTTACTTACTTTCTTAATTTAATACTCCATTCATAGAGGCTGTCATTGACTAGATCTACTGAATAAATACCTGTTAAAAGAATTAAATTTTAATGTTTTATATTTTTTAAATTAAAACATCAGAAAAAGACACCATACAACATATCACATTTAAGCTGCTGACCTGATATGAAGAACTGGAAAAAAGTGTGACAAAAATATTAAGTTCATTCATCATATTAAAAATTTAAAGTATTGGCAAACAGGAAGAAGGTGTCTGACAGTTCTGAAACACAAAACACGAGCTATTGACCAAACATCAAGCCATTTTGTACAATAGTACCCAAGAAAATATTTGTTAGACAAATGGAGAGACAAGGTAATTGCAAATATGAGACAGTGCAGATATCTATTTTCCCTTTAAAGGCAAAGTATACCTAATTGTGTGGTATTTATTATTGAATATTTGTATGCATATGATATAAATATAGAAAAAATGATATATGCAGTAAACTAAAAATTTGTGAAATATGTTGTATAGAATGTATGAGAGAAGGGAAAAATGTGCTTTTTTCAAAAATCTACCCACAGAATTTGTTGAAAAATGATATAGTATTGCTGTAAACATTTACCTTTTTTATAACTATCAGACCTATATATATCTCTCAGTTCTTTCATAAGTCTGTCTGTAGCTAAAACAGAACCACTGACTGATCCCTGAAAATAGTAAAGCAACTAATGGTTAAACAGAACAAAACTAGACATCATTGAGATGGGAGCCATCTCTGTAGGCCCCACTGTGAATAACTTGTGGTAAAAAATTTGTATCTTTACCATAGAACATGGGGTTGTCAACTGAAACCAAAGTTTTTTACTTCGACCTTTGACCTAGGAAGTTGTATATACATTATGACACACCCTCTGGTGGCAGTTAATATACATGTCAAGTATAAACTTTGAAATCATAACGTTCTCAAGATATAGAGCGGACACGATCTTTACCATAGGACATGGGGTTGTCAATTGAAACCAGTTTTTTACCTTGACCTTTGACCTAGGAAGTTGTACATACATTATGACTGGTTAATATACATGTCAAGTATAAACTTTGAAATCATAACGGTTCTCAAGATATGGAGAGGACAAGATCTTTACCATAGGACATGGGGTTGTCAACTGAAACCAAAGTTTTTTACCTTGATCTTTGACCTAGGAAGTTGTACAAACATTATGACACACCCTCTGGTGTTAGTTAATATACATGTCAAGTATAAAGTATGAAATTATAACATTTCTCTAGATAAAGAGCGGACACAATTTGTTACAGATGGATCAACGGACAGACAGATGGACGGACAGACTGATCACTATAGGGCGACACACCATTCCACGGGGCCCTAACAAGTGAAACTGCGAGCTACTGCTCACTGATGATACCCCATTCGGCAACTGGATAATTTTAATAGTGTAAAAATATGTAAGTGTTAGGTAAACAGGAAGTTGTTGAGTGATGAATATGAAAAAGCACCACACTGTATAGCTGACTTATATAAACCCTGAAACCAAATTTCAGAAATCCTTATGATGTAGTTCCTGAGAAAGATGCGATGAAAAATATTCATGGGACTGATGGACAGACTGACAGACAGATAGAGGTAAAACAGTATACCCCCACTTTTTTAAAGCAGGGGTATAACAAATATAAAATAAATGAAGAATGTGTCCATCAATTTTCAATTTACAAAGGACTAACATGAGAAGGGTGAAAGTAAAGCTATCCAAATTCGAATTTGATTAATAACTTCTGGTTGAGGCAAACAAAAGTTAGAGTGGAAACGGCAAATTTAGCAATTTTCTAATTTATAACTTGACAACAGTGAAATTGACACAATCCAAATTCGAACAGGATTTCAATTTCATCTTTTTTTTTAATTTTCATCTTTATAATTTTTTCATTCAAGTTTTACGTTTTTGAGGCCAAAAGAATCATTTAAGCATGGTGTGGTGATCTCCTGTTGCATTCCATGTATTTCATGGATTGGAGCAAATACAAACACAGTTATGCAGAAGAAGGTTTATAAATACATGATACAAAATCCCTAAACCTAAGTGCTGTTACAGCTGTTAGACTTTAACAGTGACCTTTTTCATCCTACTTACTTTTAGGAATCCCAAATGTGTTAGTATCCCAGAAAGGGGGACATTTTACAGGGTTTCTGCTAGGACTTTGAGGGCTTAAGTCACTTTTGGGCAAGATAAAACTCAACCTAGTTTTGTGTACCAGCTAGGGATCAAGGACATATATTACTAGCTATGCATATACCTAAGTCCTTCAAGGACTAGGATCTTTGAAGACCTTAGGCATGGTTCAAATGTTTGCAGTTACTGCATGATTTGACTGATGTAATGCTTAAATATGAAGATTAGAACAGGGATCTGGAAATCTAGTTCACAATTTCACTTGTTATTTTCAGGGGACATTCCTGATCAACAAAAGTTGGGTGCCTCTTTTTAAAACCACAGCATAATTGAACTTGTAATGACTATTTCACTGCAAAATCATTATTCTTGTTAATACATTTAAATCGATATTTGGAATTCATTTCTTTAAAGTTGGAAACAAGGATTTGTATCAATCCTTATTGGAACGATTCTTATGACTAAATTGAAAATTAATCGAGAAAAGATCACGTTTACTTTCAATTTTTTCAACCAAATAAAAAGGGGAAGTGACAAGTGGATAATAAATTCAGAATGAATCCGGATTCATCTACGGATTAGTTCGTGTTTAACAAAAGGCAGGAAATTATCATTTTTTTAAAATTAAGTTGATTTGTAAGAAATATATATTTGTCTCTTTCGTTTAATTTGATACTACATGATTTTGTATTTTATGTTTAAGTGTCTATATATTTATATGAATACTTTCACACATGCGCAGTACATATTAAAGGAAGCAACTGTTTGACTCGTGAAATGAAATGACGTTTTGAATAAAATTCCATCTTTTTAATCGAAATTGTCGTAAGGTTTTGATGAAAAATTATATCAAATATGACGAAAATATGTTCATATGCAAAACTACGACAAACGAACTGCAAAATATGATTGTTGGAAAATAAAGCGCCAACTGTCTGGGGGCAAACAATCTTGTTCAAATGACGAAGCTACGATAAACGAACTGCAAATTGTGGTCGTTTGACAAATATTCAAATGCAGACTGACTGATTTTACTGGGATTAATAATTATGATGGTCAATTATGAGGTTTATTAATAATTAACAGATATGTGACCCATCTGATGGCAATCAGTGGATTACCTGTAATCACAACTTTTAACACCTGTTTGTAAACGTTAATTAACTTAAGGGTCATAAACTTGTCAGAAATATGAAGACAGGTAGAATTATAGTATTTTCATGCGGAAATATTTTTACACTTTCCAAATTTAAGTGACGAAATTGATTTGAAATACTGTCGTCATTTTGAAAACAGTTTTGTAAATGACGAGCGCTAGCAAAATCACTTTTTTAAAAGTGTTCAAATATCAAAAATTATCCATTTTTCAGAAACAAGCACATTTATCAAAAATATGATTGCATATGAAGAAGAGCAATATTTTATTTTCTGTGTTAGAAATCTCGATTTTATAGTGCTACAAAACTCTAAAAATGATTAAAAAGACTGGTTTATGGTAATGTGTTGTTTTACTCATAACTAAAGTGTCGTTTTTACTCATATACTCATATACAAAATATTCTAATACAATCTCAAATATGCTTGACATAAAAATCAAAGTGCTTGTGAGCACTGAAGGGTAAAGATTGCTTTCATTTTGCAATTTTGTGAATTTAAAATGAGACACTGAATGGTATTTCACTGGACGTTAAGCAACCAACAATCAATCATTGAATGGTATTTAGCTAAATTTTAGTTGGAGTTATCTTTCTTTGTTCATGATTGTACATTTCTAGTTAAACCTATTTTGATCACACATTCATACATGTAAATTTTAATAAAGAAAATTCTTCTTTATAAGTATGATTATTTAAATACACATCATATTGTAACTTGAATATCTAAGTATAGCATATCATTAATAAATTGCTTGACATTGACTGGATATGATCTAAAGACTCCACTATTTTGGTTGAACTATGAAAGGTAGTGATAAACCTTAAAAATTTATAGAGCTTATATGCAGTCATGTACTGACACAAAATAAGCTACATGAAAACATAAAGACAGAAACTATCTTTAAAAACAATAATTGTCAGACTTAATATTGTCAAGTTAACATAATTATTTTTTTCTTTGATCAATGCTGCCTGAGCACTTTTTGTTTTGAGGTTAAAAAAATATTCCTATCAAAGAATCTATGTAACTATCTTTTAGTGCAAACTCTATAAATATTACTACTTATAAATTGGAGTTTTTTCTATTTGTAAGACACTGGACTCATTTGCAAACATAAATTATTTGTCATCATGACACATGTAATAATGGATGGTCACATGGCACATGTAAATACTGTATACTTCTCAAAGGTCAAACTTTGTTTGTCTGAACTTTTGATTACCTGTAAATAATCTTTTCGTTGATTCTGCTTTAACTTCTCTAGGATGACAATGTTCTCTGTATCAATACCATCAACATTTTCTTTAAATTTACTCTCACTTCAAAAAATATAAAATTAGCACTATGAAGATAATTCACAAAGCATCAATTAGATCTATGAAAATTTATGAAAAATCAAACATGAGAATTATAGCCTGAATTTTTACAGACAAATATTTTGATTCACCTGGCTGAACACTATTAAATTGTACTGATATAAATTTTCAATCATGATTTCATTATTACACAAACAACAATTTGAATCTTTCTATCAAAAAAAGTTTTAAGACTTTTCTTAAAAGAACATTAGCTACAAATCAAACAAATAGACTGTTAACACAGTGAAATGTCTTGCCTGTTGGCAGAAAATTCAGAAAAGACAATCTGATGGACAGCAACATTACTATTACTAAATAATTCAAAGTCGCTGGACCATGAACTAAGGGGCAGGGCCTGGAAATGGTAAACAAACTTAGATGTACTGATAGTAATGCAACTTAATAGAAAATATCATTGTCTATCATAAGTAGTTCCTATCAAACTAACTTGAACTTAATATTGAAATTTAGTAATTAATTGAAAGTCATTGGAACAAAACCTACGGGGACAGGGACTTGCAATAGTCATCAAACTGATATGTAATCCACTTTTTTACAAAATATCATTGATCTATCACAAGTAGTTCCTATCAAATTGACTTAAGCAAAAAACCTAACATTAAAAATTGCTAATTAATTCAAAGTCACTGGAACATGACCTAGAGGGCAGGGCCTCCAAATAGTCCTGAAACTGATATGTACTTATAGTAATGCAACTTTATAAAAAATATCATTGATCTAACACAAGTTGTTCCTTTCAAACTGACTGAGGCAGAAAACTTAACTATTGTTGAAGCCAGGAAAGCAACACCTATATCTTTTGTCGTCACATGAATTGAAACATGATGTTTTTTTCAAACATCTATAACAGCTGAAGTTATAAAAAAAATTTCCCTATTAGCAGTCAGTTTTGTTCAAAATAAGCTAAATAAATGGGGAATGTGTCCATGGGACACAGATGATGCCCCCACTTGCATATCATATGAAATTATAAAGGGATATAACTGAAGAACAATAAAAGTGACGCTACCAAAATTTGTACTTGATCTGAGTTTTGAGGTAATAAGTATTGTGTATAAGTCTCATAACATTTGGTTGCGGCTAACTTAAGTTAGAGAACAGAAACGAAAAATTCAGCAATGTAAACAGGCATAACTCTAGAACGGTAAAAGTGACATCAAAATTCAAACTTTATCTGTATTTTGTGGTAATAAAGTTAGAGAACGGAAGCCAACTTTGGGACGTACAGACGGACAAGGACAAAACTTAATGCCCCCTCCGCTACAGCGGGGGCATAATTAGATGGCATCTAGTCTAAAATATGCACAAAATGTTGATACATTATAATTAATCCATGCATTGTTTATTGTTTCTTTTGGACTTTTTATAACTTGAATATACGTTTTAGTGTATTTTAAATCAAATATTTGTGTCAAATCAGTGAACATGAATTTGACAGCTAATGCCCCTTTAAGTCATTCTTACTGATGTGTGTCATCTTCCATTGCCATAAAATCTTCATCATCATCTTCATCTGAACTTTCATGTGCCTTTACTACCACAGGTTCCTGCAAAATATGATTATGTGTGTGTGTGCCATATAATTTATACATTTACATCAGTTACTGGGTAATCTTAATAGAAAGAACTTTGAAAAATTTTTACTTCAAAGGAATTTTCCAACAACATTTAACATTTTAAAATGCAGAAAACCATGAAAATCTTTTAAATGAAATGCCAATATAATTTTTTCTGTAGGATAGGTTTTAGCATTTTTGGGCAGAAGCCTGTAGTTCAGTGGTTGTCATTGGTACATGTCTGTCATATTTGTTTTTCATAAATTGTTTTGTTATAAATTAGGCTGTTAGTTTTATCAATTGATTTGTTTCATATTTTTTATGTCGGGGCCTTTTATAGCCGACTATACAGTATGGGTTTTCTCATTGTTGAAGGCTGTAGGGTTGCCTATAATTGCTTACATCCACTTCATTTGAACTTTGGAGGATGGTTGTCTCATTGGCAATAATCATACCACATCTCCTTATTTTTATAAAGTAAATCTTTTATTATCTGCAAAAGACATATCATGGGTATACGTAATAATGACAATAACTATTCTGAGACTGGTCAACCAAGCATACCTGAAGACATATCATGAGTAACCCGGACTAACCTTTTCTAAGACTGGTCCACCAAGCATACCAAGAGAATCAGGCAATGGAATATGATGTACTGTACATAGTTCCTGTATCAGTATCTTCACCTGATTTATTATCTGAAATGTTTGACAATATATTTAATATTAAAGAATGGCTGCGTAGAATTGTAATTTCATTCTTTTGGGAGAAATAAACTGTTAACACAGAAATATGTCTCGCATTTTTGTTATTTTGATAGTAAAATGCAAATGTTGAAATTAAAATAGCAATACTTTAACATGTAAGTTATGCAAAATATTCAGTCAATGAACCAGGACTGAAGGTACAGGCCAAACAATCTCCATGGAAATGAGATGTGCCAATGCTAGTACAATTGAATACCAAATATCATTGACCTACCAATATTGGTTCCCCATAAACTGACCTAATCAAAAACTAATACATTGTTGACTACTTCACCAACACCTGAAACAGCATACTTATGTCATGCTTTTTTACATGTATACCATCAATCCAAACCACAAAGATAAATGCAACCTTTCACATGTTTCAATGATGTTCTCCCAAGGGCCTTATTGCACCATGGTGCTATATTTTTTTATCATGGTTCCATCTGAAAACAAAACACCATCTGAAAAAGATTCATAAATAAATTGTATTATAAATGTAATAAGGTCCTAATGTACCTGAAACTTTCAGACTTACTCCATAATTATTGGATGTTGTTTCACTTATGCTTTCAATTGTTGAGCTGATATTCTGATCTTCATCTTCACTGAACCATATAGGAGGTGACTGTGGATAAGACTCCTAAAAAAATACTGCATACATAAAATATAACCAAAATACAACATGGGATTCTGATCACAGTAAAAATTGTCAGTTACTCTACATTGTACAGTTCGAGTTTCTTTGTCTTTAACCATCATTGGACAGACAATACTTCATTCAATCAGGACAATATAACTTACATATTTACATCATGTGTACATGTAGCATACAGGCTGACCCCAGATGCATCTTCTTGATATACCAGCATTGTAAGGTAACTGTCAAAACTCCTTAACTACTCTTATCTAAATCGACATCACCACTACTTGTATTGCATATATGTACACAAATCAGAACCTGTTAGTAATAGCATATGTATATGCTAAAGAGATCAGAAACAGAAGATAATACATAATAAGTGCATTATACATGTACTGCTATTTTCAGTTTTGAAATTCACTTGATCTGTGTATCCTGCACATTTACAAATGTGCATGTTAGGGCAGTGGATATAGTTTCAAGATAGATAACTATTAATACATGTATGAGTGTTCATCTTGTTACACATTGACTTCTTATTCACAGAATCTAAACAAAGGATTTACCATTTGAAAAATAGAACATTGCACAAAATACTGATCATCATTACCTATTGAATGAGTTACAAAAGCATAAGGGTTTTGTTGTTTACAAATGAAACATAAATCAAATCTGTGTATTTTGTCAGAGTTGTCTACATTTGCACTAAATTTTGATGGTGGTAGGAGACATTTAAATATTTTGCTATAAAAAACAGAAAACCAAAAATTTTAATTTAAAGCCTCCTTTTTGATAATTATATAAGTTAAATAAAAGTTAATGAAAAGGCGATCTTCTTCAGACTTTGTTACAAATCCTCTAGAAGAAAAGTGTTCACAAAACATATTCAGACAGTACGCTATGCATATGAATGTTTACCAAGACTTATATTACTTCTGAATCCTACGGGGATTTCTCTTTCTGAAACTGATAAGAAGCTTGTTTGGTTGCAAATTTAAAGATTGGCCTTGCATAAAACTATACACCTGTATGCTCTAAAACTGAGCATCAATAGAGGATTGGTTTTTAGTCTGGTGAACAAGCATTCTAAGAGTATTGCATGGCAATACATAGTCCCCTACCGGCTAAAAATTAATTGTACTGGAACAAAATGCTAACTTGATCTATAACTTGTCATGGTGTAAACTATATAACAAATATCAAGTCAATATCTTCAAGCATGACGAAAAAAAGTGCAGAAAACTGATTATTTGAGTGAATTTTCAAAGTCCAAGGACCATAACTCTGCACAAAATCATCAGACCGGAACAAAATTTGAACTTGATTTGTAACTTGTCATGATAAAACAATATACCAAATTTCAAATCAATATCTTCAAGCATGAAGAAAATAAAATGCTCCGCAGGGCGCAGCTTGATACGACCGCAGAGGTTGAACCCTGAACAGTTGGGGCAAGTATGGACACAACATTCAAGCTTGATACAGCTCTGAATTTGGATTGTGATTAAATATTTGACACAGCATAGGTTTCTGACACAGAATGAATGTGGTCTAAGAACTTAAAAATTTTAAATTGGACATTCACCTATTATGGTCCAATATCCAAAATCTAAATACATGGTTAGATTCAGCATATCAAAGAACCCCAAGAATTCAATTTTTGATGAAATCAAACAAAGTTTAATTTTGGACCCTTTTGACCTCAATGTGGACAAAGTTGATAACGGGGCCCAAAAATCAAAAATCTAAATACATGGTTAAATTCAGCATATCAAAGAACCCCATATATTCAATTTTTGTTGAAATCAAACAAAGTTTAATTTTGGACCCCGATTTGGACCAACTTGAAAACTGGGCCCATAATCAAAAATCTAAATACATGTTTAGATTCAGCATATCAAAGAACCCTAAAAATTCAGTTTTTGTTAAAATCAAACTAAGTTTAATTTTGGACCCTTTGGACCTTAATGTAGACCAATTTGAAAACGGAACCAAAAATTAAGAATCTAAATACACGGTTAGATTCGGCATATCAAAGAACCCCAATAATTCAATTTTTGATGAAATCAAACAAAGTTAAATTTTGGACCCTTTGGACCTCAATGTGGACCAATTTAAAAACGGGGCCCAAAAACCCAAAAACCTTATACACGGTTAGATTCAGCATATTAAAGAACCCCAAGAATTCAAGAATAAAACCCCATGGAAATTGATCAAGAAATAAGCAATTTATACGAAGTATCTTCTTTTGCACAATACTGTGCAATTGAATATTTCTTGCTATTGCGCAATACTGTACAATTGACAATTTCTTGCTATTGCGCAATATTGTGCTATTGGATATTTCTTACTATTGCGCAATACTGTGCAATTGAAGATTTCTTGCTATTGCGCAATACTGTGCAATTGAAGATTTCTTGCTATTGTGCAATACTGTGCAATTGAAAATTTCTTGCTATTGCACAATACTTATTATATAATAATTTACACATCCTGTTTGGTGTGTATCTCCTACCATAACATTATTATTTGCTTTTAAATATTAATCAGAAATAACCAACTTAAAATGGAAAATTTTAAAAGAAAAAAAAAAGGAAAAAAAGAAAAAAAAGTAAAAAAAAATCCCCCCCCCCAAATTTTTTGAACCCCCTTATGATTCATCACCCCCAAACTCAATCCCAGCCTTCCCTTTGTGGTATGGTACCTTGCAGTACAATTTCAGAGAGATCCATACACTTGAACACAAGTTATTGTCTGGAAACTAGAAAAATGCTTATTTTTGGCCCCTTTTTGGCCCCCAATTCCTAAACGTTTCGGGCAATTACCCCCAAACTCAATTCCAGCTTTCCCTTTGTGATATGGAACCTTGTAGTACAATTTCAGAAATATCCAAACACTTACACACAAGTTATTGTCATGAAACTAGAAAAATGCTTGTTTTTTGCCCCTTTTTTGGCCCCTAATTCCTAAAATTTTGAGGCAATTACCCCCAAAATCAATTACAGCCTTCCCTTTGTGATATGGAACCTTGTGGTACAATGTCAGAGAGATCCATACACTTACACACAAGTTATTGTCTGGAAGTTACAAAAATGCTTATTTTTGGCCCCTAATTCCTTAACTGTTGGTACCATAACCCCCAAAATCAATCCCAACCTTCCTTTCTTGGTATTGAACCTTATGGTAAAATTTCATGGAGATCCATTCACTTAAACTAAAGTTAGAGTGCGAAAACCAATGTGTCTTCGGACGACGCCGGACGACGCCAGATGACGACGCCGGACGACGCCAGATGACGACGCCAACGTCATACCATTATACGACCAAAAAATTTTTAATTTTTGCGGTCGTATAAAAAGTGTGGAAAACTGATTTGCCGTACTGACAGAAGGAGACAGACGGATGAAGTGCAAACCTAAAGTCCCCTTCGACTTCGTCGGAAGGGGACTAATAAGCACTACCATGCTAAAAATAGCTTCAACAACATGACAGAAAATGTCTTTTTTTCAGTTTTTATTTTATTCTCTCTCCCTAGAACATCACAGAGAAGCAAATAATGTACAGCAAATTAATATCTGATTACCAAATAGGAGCATACAATTTCCGGCAAATTTGTATACCTGATCACTGAAAAGTATATATAGTGATAAGTAAATGAAACATGCACCAATAACCTTTAAGAGCCATCCAGTAGCAACTGTGTCATATAGAATTTAACAAAATGTCTATTAATTTGTGTTGAATACATATTTTTCACTTTTGAACCCGTTATTCTTCTATAAGCTGAGTCATTCATGAGTCTGTAGTTCTTACCAAAGGAATACAGATTTCACATTTTTTCTGTCATTGTTGGCTACTTCTGATCCATGATTATCGTAAATTTCAATGAGAAAGGAGAAAATTTTTTTAAAAAAAAAGCAACAATCTCCTTATTTTCATATTCATTTTAACATCTGATTTGGAATGGAATGTGTTTTCAATGCAATCAGCATCAAACATTAACATGATTCTGTCCTGATATGAATATAATATTTACCACTGGCCACCCATCAAGCATCATTATTAAATCATAGACAAGTGTAGGTACATGTACCACACGTCCTGCTCTTAATTGACAATTTTTCCAGAGATCTAAAGTCAACAGCAAAATTCCTTAATGAACAATAAGCAGTGAAGATATAAAAACAAACAACTACATGTATCATTGACAAATGGAAAAAACGTTGGTCACTCAAAGTCTGAGTAAAGCATATAAAAAAGCTTTAATATTTATAACTGATATCATTACTGCTCTGAAAAATTGAAATTGCATATTTCAAATGAAATACGACACAAGAATGTGTCCATAGTACATGCATGCCCCACTCGCACCATCATTTTCTATGTTCAGTGGACCGTGAAATTGGGGTCAAAACTCTAATTTGGCTTTAAAATTAGAAAGATCATATCATAGGGAACATGTGTACTAAGTTTCCAGTTGATTGGACTTCAACTTCATCAAAAACTACCTTAACCAAAAACCTTAACCTGAAGCAGGACAGACGGACAAACCAACAGACGCAGAGACCGAAAAAAACATAATGCCCCTAGGTGGGGCATAAAAAAAACATCCCCTGGTAGATCACAAATGGATCTGGAGTTTCTACTTTGCTGTCAACAGGAGATCAGAGAAAAGGCTGATGTGTGTACTGATTGTTATAATCAAGCTCAGCTCTCGATTTGTTTCTTACTTGAAACATGTCAAATTACCATGCTGCTGGATTAGATTTTTAAGTCCTCAACCCTACCCCCTTAATGTTGATCCTTGGAATGACAAATGGTATATTACATTCTAATATCACGTTCTTCAAACCCATGGTAAAATATGAATATATTGTATGTCAGCTGATCGGCAATGTCATGATTTGTTAAGGCTGTTCTGATCATACTCCAATGTCATATGCTTTTATATGAATGAGCCACCTGATGTCAATCAGTGTAAATGACTTCATTGAACAATGAAGATGACTTAGAATATAAGTATTTTACAGGAAAATGCACTGTGGTGAAACTTAAAGTCATCAAAACAAGGAAACATAAACAAACGATGATAAAATTTGTTAAAAGCCATTTTTTTAACATTTAAGTAAGATTATCATTTAAATTCATCCAAACCTATCCAAGTATGTTATTGTAAATAGTTTAAGCATGTCACTAGTTCAGTTTTCTCCATTCTTTTACGTCAATATTTATAGTGTGTTTAATTACGGCAACAGCAAATCTTTGCCTTTACCTAGAGCGCTTCGATCCAAAAGTATTGCCGTAATTGTCCTATTAGAATAGAAATAATTCATGTGGGCTTGAATTATTTCTTAAATATTCAATACAAGCATAGGCCATAGCAGTACTTTAATGACTTAACTAATATTGCGTAGCAATTACTCATGTTACTTGTCTTAGAAAATTTATGACAGGATATACAATTTTCAACATTAATAATAATGGCATCATAAAATATTGTTTGACACTAAGGAAATTGAAACAAGGAAGTTAATGGTCAGCATCCAAAACAAAACATCCTTTGTTTACGTTTTCATTGTGGCAAAAATTAGTACCTTTAGAGTTTACATTCAAAATAAAATAGTTTCGTACCGTTATATTAGCATTTATTCGATGTTTGCTTCCGCTATCATCAATAAAAACGCAATTTATTTCGTCTACTGAAGCTGACAAAATTCTAAAAGATCTGTCACTTTCTTTAGGGAAGGCTCTTTCGAGAAGTTTTATGTCTTGTTTAAGTTTGGTTAGGCATGCCATTCTGTATGTCAAAATGAAAGCACATCACAATACATTCAAAAATGGAAACTTTGTGTTGAAAAGTTTAAACAGACAGTCACAGCATGGTAAATGTACAGCAAAAGAGTTTTCGACTGTCAATCTATGGCGCAGGCTGAAGTGCGCATGTCCTTGAAATTTTAGCTATGACAATGACGGAATGAATGTGTAAAGAATCCGAACTGAAGAAAATGATTTACTCTTTTTAGGGTAACTACTCATTCATTCAGGACATTTAGAAAAAGAAAGAAGTCATAACCGTATATTACACAGTGGCGGATCCAAAAGGGGGGGGGGGGGGGGCTTCCGGGGGTTGGAACCCCCTTTTTTGACGATCAATGCATTTGAAACGGGACATATATATATAGTTGGAACCCCCCTTTATCCTGGGTAGGGACCCCCCCCCCCCCTTTTTTTTATAAATGGCTGGATCCGCCCCTGTTACATATAGGCGGAGCAGGCGTTTACCTCCTCCAACTTTCTGATAAAATACAAAGATTAATTAAAACAATGAACGTGAAGTTGACAATCCGTCTGTGCTATAGTATCATGGCAAATGCTAGTCTATTCGTTCTGCGATTACTATAACCAGAGACATATCTCTGCTATAGCACCTATATGGTAATAGATATTTGCAAATATATAGTAAGACTTACTATACAAATCCTTGATTTAAAGTAAAATTTCTTTATTCAATTAATTTTACTAATCTTCCCACTTTTTAACGTTTTCTTGTTATTATATCTACAAAATTTAACAATAAACAGTAAAAGATTAAGAAATTTTACTATAAATGAATTTGTAAAGAAAATTTAAAAGGGGCCACGGTCCATTCCCCGAGTGCCTGTGTCTGTGATTGGATTTAAACTGTTACTGATTGTGACACGTGTGATGGTTTTTTTTTATAACGGTAATGGCACGTGTATATCTAATTACCCGTGAGGACTTGTAAAAACAATGGACCTTTTTTTATAAATACAAATGGTATGTTGAATACTTGAATATATATTTTGAAATAATAATTAGTTATTGCAATTATGTTCTCGTTCGAATTCGCTTTCCCAAATTTTGAATTATCTAAAATCTCGTCCATGTGATTTTTTAATTCTGAAAATAATATACCCGAATAAATCAACCATAATCATAAAATTTCCTATTGTTGATAATTCTTATTAGGAAAATACCATATATGTGAAATTTCATACCCAAGAAGATACCAAAAACTTTTCATCAATCATATTGGAAATTCATGACCATTTCTGCTTGAAATAAAATACTGATGTCCTCAAAAAGAAACCCCGAAGCAATAGTAATATGCCGGAGAATGGACTCGAAAAAAGAACGACCCCGTATACCAGTACATAGACTTGAACCATACAAAGTAATTTTAAAAGTGTTTGTATGATTGAACACTGTTTTCTTTTTAAAGCTGGGACAAATTGACAAAGTTACCTGGTAGGAATCGGAGTTGGAACACATCATCCAGTTACTATTCTGGAACGAATCATCCAAATACCATTACATCAACACCGGCACCTGTAGCAGGACAAAGTCAAACGTTTAAAAGTAGTGGCGGATGCAGTGAAAAATAACAAAATTGAGAGACTGACCCTGCAAACTTATGTCACCGGGGAATTTGGGTGACTTGTGAGTAGTGTAACAAGAGCCTGACTGAATGGCCTCTTGTTACTGAAACTGTGTGATGCACCTGATCACACAAAGAACGAATGCTCTGAATAGCAATGATAACTCTGGGACTGAAACTCTGGTGAAAACTAACTCTTGAGACTCTGGAACTAGCGATGAATAAATCAATAATTCAGCATGGATACTTTTATTACAGATGGACTGTGTTCAGTGTAAAGTCCTGAGTCCAAATCTTGCTTATCAAAATTATAAACAAGTATTTATGCACAATTGAAATGACAAGAATAAACATAACAAATAACAATTAATTTGAGTAATATTGTTCACTGACAAAGATTAAACTATTTTTAGAACTAAAGAATAAAGTTAATTTACTAATCTTATTATGATATTTTTACATAATTATGAAAAAAGAAAACTGTCAGTAATTAGCTACCAGAGTAAAGCATGTCACTCAATGTCCAAACTGAGAAATAAATACATATCAAAGCATGTTGATTTAAGTCCTGGATATGAAATGTAGATAGAAACGAAAATATAAAATAAGATGAATTATAAAACACTGAGAATGAAAGTCTAAAATATCAAAATTGAGAATTTTATATTAATGTCCTAAACAATAAAATGAAGCTGCTTTTTCCCTGGTCACATATGCCTCTCCTCCCAATTAAGTCCGTCCTCGGACTTAGCACTATCTAAATCGGCCTCCTCTGCGGTTGTTATAGTGTCTGTTGTTATAGTTGGGTCGCTGTTGGTTTTGGCTGGAAGACAACATGTAGTTTTCATGACGAAGGCTATGAAGTTCTTCTGTCAGCTGTTTGATAGAATTTTCATGAAATTGCAGTTTTGAATGAAGGTCTTGTTTGTATTTCATCCGTAAATTCGGTGGAACGTAAATAATAAAGATCATGCACCATTTTCACAGTCTTGTCTTTTTCATTAACCTGATCTTGCAATTCCTGAATTTGACTTTCATATTCTTTGATGTCATTAAGTGACGCACTTTGTTGATTTTGTAGCCGAATGTTATTTAGTTCTTGTTTCAACTGGTCTCTCTCGGATTTAACACTCTCTATATAGTTCAACTGAAATTTTAAGTCCTGGATGTACTGAATTTTTACGTTTTTCTTCTGATAATTCCATTTAGTTCTTTTTAGCACATTTGCAATATCCAAATATTGAACGAAAGCTGAATTTTTCATACCAGAGAACGGTAAGGCTCGGATTATATTTTTGCGCTCGATATAGCTGGTCATTCTAGCTGTATCACGCTCCTTTTCCCTTTGTGCAGTGATCATGGATCTTATTGTGCCGCGGTTATGTATTGCTTTCCAAGAATCTATCTGAGGCTAAGCAGAACCCTGCATTTGTTTAAGTTATTAACGAGGGTGGTGAATGAGGGCGATTGAAAATGCTGGCTCAAAATGAGAGACATCTGAAGGCGTAAAATAAATGAGAGACAATATCTATCGGTTTCGAATCTCAAAAAAAAAACGTCTGTCACTTAAAGTCTGAGTAAAGCATATGAAAAAAGGCTGAACGAAATTAGGATGCTTTAAAATTTATAATTGATATCATTATTGCTCTAGGTAAAAAGAAAGGTTGCGTTCCGAGGTAACTGAAACAATTAAGGAACCAACAGGAGAAGACGGTTACTGGGAGTTCTGTTTTGTGTTAATACATTTTGACTTATTTTGTAAAATGAAAAGCAACGTTTGACGAAAAATTGAAATGGCATATTTCAAATGAAATACGAAAAAAAAACCTCCCCCCGGTAGATCACAGAATGAGTTTCTACTTTGTTGTCAGCAGGAGGTCAGGGAAAAGAGGCTGATGAGTGTAGTGATTCTTAAAATCAAGCTTAGCTCTCGATTTGTGTTGATATATTTACAAAGAGATGATGTTCAGTGACAGAAGATTTCTGTGTAGTCGTTGAACTTGTACACTGATGCCGAAACAATTTCGCACATTTTGTTGGCAAATCTTCGTAATTGAGGGTTCGATATAACATAGTTAAGAGGGCAAGGGTACAGTGGTTGTTCAACAATGTCCGGTAAAGTTTCTAGAGTAGAAACTCTCTTACTGAAGAATTGTCAAAAAATACAAATCAACGCTGCAGAGTTTCGTAATTTAAATAGTTGTTGTACTCGCATACAAACGGCGTTTTCGGTTGCACTCAAAGATGTTGCATGTGATTTTGTGGAAGAGCTAGTCTTTTGGTTGATACAATAATATGAACGGTACCAATTTTACTGCTCCATTTGCTTATTTAGACAATAAATGTCTCTTCAGTGATGTGCGATGCCAAAATATTTGAAAATCCAAAAATTTATTAAGACAATTGAAGAGCTTTTAAGCCAAGAAGACAAATAATATAGCCAAAGCCGGACAAGGAATCAGAGCTTTGCATGAGGGAGATATATTCCTTAACTTAAAATACTTTCCAAAATTGTGTAACACTAGTTTTAATAACACTATCGGATGTTCATGCCAGTACCGAAATACTCCATCCTGGGCTCGCGATACCCTCGGGGACTTACAGTCCACCAGCAGAGGTATCGACTCAGTAGTAGTAATAATAAAGTTCCCAGAGGCGGATTAAGCGGGGCAGGGGGCCCGCACCCCCCCCCCCCCTTTTGTGGGAAAATTTTGGTGGATTATATAGGGAATCACTGAATAATAACTGGAGCGGGCCCCCTCTTAGGCAGTAGGTGGGACCCCACTTATGCAACTTTCTGGATCCGCCACTGGTTCCAATTGTACTGCATCAGATGCGCATTTCAACAATAAATGATCTTCAGTGATGCTCGAGGCAAAAATATTTGAAAATCCAAAACTTATTACATATATCATCAATGACCGTTGTGGATAGTAAACTTGAAATTGATAGTAATATAAATGTAAATACATGTCATTACTAGTATATTTGTGTTAATATATCACAGAAAAACGCGAAAATAATTGAAATTAAAAAAAATAACAGATTTTAGAAAAAAAAGAGTGATGGCTTAAATAAAATGGTCCTGTTCCGCAAGTTCCTATGGATCATAGAGCCAATGTGACAGTTGAAGAGCAATATTTTTTACATACAAACTCAAACAGATTTATGTATACACCCCATACCAAATAACATGGATACATGGGTTAGTCTGCCAGTGTACATATATTCTGGGTCTGTATAACGCTCCTGCATGTGCTATATACATGTAGTTTGTATTCATTCGTTCAAACCATGTACACTGAATGAGAAATATCCCGAAAGTTGTCAAAGTTCAACAACAGGTGATTTTCTGGAACTTCCAGAGGGGAGGCTTAGGGTTTCCACATACACACCTTCAGTATATTTACAACTATTCTACATAATACAAAGGTTAAGGTTTGAAAACTGTATGAGGAGTTAGATGGACAAACTATGTACTCTTATACAAAAAAACTTATATACAAAAAGACAAATGTCGAGAACTGGTATATTTCTGAAAAGTTGAAGAAAATAAAAATCCTTTTCTACATGCACATCTCGGGTGCATGCACAACTGTTCTTCAAAATAAAAAGTTTCCGTCTAAAAACAGTAACAAGTAATAAGAATTCGACAAACAATCCTTGTTCAATATATGACAAATTTCTATAAAATTGACCAAGCTATTAAAGCTTCTGATTATTTTGCGAAGAATAAAATCCACATCTTCAGTATATCTACAACTGTCCTACAAAATAAAATAATTCTACCTTTCAAACTGTAAGAGTTGTAGCACAGACAAATCACATTCCATATATGTGTGGACAGACTGATGGAAAACTGACAGGCAGGTGAATTGTTATAATTCTCATGGCATAAAAACACACACACCCATGCTTCATCATTTAAAGGGGGACCTAAATCTAGTCCTATATTATAAGACTTTGTAGGTCCATATTAAAAAAATATCCAAATAAAAAAACGTTGAATGCATACGATATGGACCTACAAAGTCTTATGTTAAAGGACTAGACCTAAATCCACCATTGATTACATACTGAGCATACCACTTTAAAAAGTATTGGATAACACCTGGAACTCTAAAGTTATAAGTCATAATTTGTTTTATTACCTCTCACACTTTAGACAATAGCATATCGGAAAACAGTTAGTTTGTTAAAGGGAAAACAGTTTTATTTATAATTGCAAGGTCTCGACAGAAGCTCATTTATACTGGGTCAAAGTTGTTGTTTGTTACAGTTTGACACTGGCATGTTAAATGCTCAGTTGTATTTCAGAACTTATAAAATCTGTCCTTTTATTTCTCATTTCCATTTTACCTGTTAGTGTCCTTTGGAGATTTTGGTATTCCACCATTGTCCATGTCCAGTATGTGCTTTTTTTTCTGTCGTCTCCTTTCAATGTTTTAAAAAACTTTGGGATATGAAGCAAACTCTTAACTAGTGACTAATCTTATCACCCATCTGACAAATTTACCCTTCTAAAGCTCACAAGAAGAAAACTGACAAATTCAATAGCTCATCATGCTCATTATGGCTTTGATTTCACCAATTTCCTTAACTTTAAACTTTCAAAACACTTGATTTGAAAGTGAGTTTCAGCAGTTAACATTTTTGAAAAATAGCCAACCCAAGTCAAATAGGCAATTTCATGATCTGATCAGAGCCGAATGAGGAGCCTCCATTTATCATCTCTGCCAAAGTTTGGTTAAAATTGGACAAGTAGTTTCAGACATTAAGACACAAAATTGGATGTTTCAATGGGAACTCTGGCATTTATTTGGCACACTGGTGTGAGAAAAAGTTAAAAGAGTGGATGATGGACAGACAGTTAGGGGGGAGAGAGGTTAATACTCACACAAGATTTTTTTTTACTTATATATAAGTAAAAATGTCTTTTTCTCTTCTTTTCTTGGATCTGTCATTAATAGTTTTCTTCACTATTCATAAAAGTAGTACTTCATGGACAATGGAAATCTCCTTTGTCTGTTATTTTCAGAATACTGCTCATTTACAGGGAGCAATTTGTGAAGGCCTTGCACACTTACTTAACATCTGTGCCCAATTGAGTTCTTTGCTTAGTTTTTGAGATAAAAGGTTGAACTCTCATTAAACAAGAATGTGTCCATAGTACATGGTTGCCCCACTCCCACTACCATTTTCTATGTTCAGTGGACCATGAAATTGGGTTCGAAACTCTAATTTGGTATTACAATTAGAAAGATCATATCATAGGGAACATGTGTACTAAGTTTCAAGTTGACTGGACTTCAACTTCATCAAGAACTACCTTGTTCAAAAACTTTAACCTAACGCGAAACAGACAGACGGACGAACGAACAAAAGGACAGACGAATGAACGGACGCACAGACCTTAAAACATAAAAATAATTAGCAAACCAGAAATAAATCTGATTAAGCATGTTTTGAATCCCAAAACTTGAGAATTTAAGGGGTTGTAAAAAAATTACTTGTATAGGTAAATATTTGGAAAAGATTTAGGGGAGATTATTCAAACCTTGAAGATAAAATAAAAATCTTACAAATATACTTACAATGTATACAAGTATTGATAAATATTACTTACACCTTCAGGTAAATAAACATGTCATTGTCTTGTATAAGTATTACCCCTGATTGTCAGATGAAAAAGAGAAGCAAAGGAATATCCCAACTCATATATCAAAGACAAGTAGCAAAGACATGGCAAAAAATGAAGAACAAAGAAAAGACAACCAATAGTTGAGAAATCACAACATAAAACTAAAGACTGAGCCACACCAACTAAGCTGTTACGATTGCTTATACTGGCCCTTTAAAGAAAGGTATTCTACAAATTCAAATTATGATATACTAATTATCAAATTTTATTGATTTTGAGCTGCCTTTGTCAATATAAAACTTTTTCCCAGCATCTGGAGGCTGTTGGAACCCAAGTCCTATACCTCTCTGTAAGTTTGTTGTCATTGCCTTTTCATACTGATGTTCTAATTTTTTCTGATAATTTTCCTCAGTAGTTTTGTCCATAGCACGATTAGCAAATTTTGATGTAAACTTTTGTGTTTTTGCATCTTGATCCTCACCACTCTTTTTAAAACCTCCTAACAGTCGGAGAAATTTGCTTTGTTTGTCTTTATTTTCTGTAAATGCAGTTCCCCACTGTCCTGTCTGAAGTGTTTCTACTTTGGTACATGTATCATTCTTTCTACAACTACCATTTTCTCCTTTTTGTCTAATATGATCCGATAGTTCATGGTCTTTATTATGTTTTAATTTTTTCTTGTCTTTTTTTTTTAGACCAGCTTTGATACTGTTATGACTCGTATCTGAATCAGAATGTGAATTATCATTATTCCTTTTCTTCTTTTTCTTTGATTTCCTTCTAACTTCCTCATCGTCTTGACCATTACTACTATTTTCTCTCATTTTTTCGTCATATTTGTTGTCTTCAATTTTCTTTTTCTTCTTTTTTTTTTGATTTCTTATCATTTGTTAATTCATCAGAAAATTCTGTCTCGTCATGATTATATATAATTGATTTATCTTTAGTTTTATTCTTTTTGTCCTTTTTCTTCTTTTTTATTTTTGCAACTTTTTCATCATCAGAGTTTCCTGAAGTCAAATGATTGTCTTCTTCTGAGCGTTCTTTATGTTTCTTTTTCTTATGCTTTTTACACTTTGTTGAATCTAAATAATTAGATTGTACTTCCTCAATTTTACTTTCTTTCTTTTGGTCATGACTTGTATTTTCCTTAACCTTTTTGTGTATTGGCTCATCACTGCTTTCAGTATTTTCTAAATCAAAATGTTTTCTTTTCTTTTTCTTTTTTGACTTTTTAGATAAACTGTCCCCATGGTCATTACTTATCTGAACATCATCTTCTTGACCCTCAATCATATGTTTTTTCTTTGAACTTTTTTCTGTATTCCTGGCTATTTCATCTACATGATTTTCATTATAATTTTCTCTTTCAGTTGGTATTCTTTTATTTTTTTTCTTCTTTCTGACTTCTTCGAATTCCATTCTACAAAATATACATTCAAATATTTTAATATAATATTGATAGTTTTATATCAATCAATGCGAGCATATATTTTAAGCTGACCTATTGTTGAATTCAAAATTTTTAAAAATTACTGAAATAACCCTTATAATTAGTCCTGATTTTGATCGAATGATTGCGGATTGTTTTTTGCTTTATACATGTAATGTTCTGTTTCAAATATTTCATGCATAGAATAGACAAGAACAAATTAACTCGTTTTTTTCCCTGTCTAAACTAAATCAAACATACAGAGAGTTCTCTCAGATGGTTACTTTGTGTCATATTATTTTGTTAGTTGTTTTTTGTTGATGTGTGCTTTGTGTCAATCTGATGAATCAAGTCCTTTTCAACTGAATTTTATAGTTTTTTCTAATGCTGTTCTCTTACACCACTGCCCCAGGTTAGGGGAGGGTTGGGCATCAAGAAATAGTATTTAACCCTGCCACATACTGTACATGTATGTGCCAGTCTCAAGTCAGGAGCCTGTAATTCAGTGGTTGCCTTCTGTAATATATACATCATGTATCATATTTGTTTTTCATTTTAATTATTGCTTTATACATAAATGAGGGGCGTAAAGGGGGGTATATGCACAGAAAAACACGAAATAAAATTGCCATTTCACGGTGAACGAACAATTAAAAATTTCTTGCACATTGATCTTTTTACCGATTTCACGAAACACGGTGTATAACGTACATCTACTTCATATGGTCTCTGGTGGAAGTTGTCTCATTGGCCACATCTTTTAATTTTTAAATAAAGCATGTTTTATTTAATAAATTGTTTTATTTTAAATTCTTGAAAAAAATTAATTATTTGTTTCAGAAGGGAAGAGAAGATGGAGTTTTGTTACTGTTGAAAATTAGTGGGGAAAATAATACAACCATGACAACAGTGAGTTCCTGTATTTTATTAAAAAAAGGTTTTTTTTTTTTTTTATTCAATTGGAAAAAAACTTTGTCCTGAGAGAAATAAAAAAAAAAACAAACATGCCCAATAAAAGATGAATCGCTGGTGAACAGGTACTGGCCTTAACCATTGCATGATACAAGTGTCTGTGGATTAGTGCCTTAAAACTTTTCCTGAAGCACAGGTTTGTCTGTACACCTAACCTTGTCGGAGATCATGGTAAATTGTACAGTAACAGTTGTAGTTCAGATATTTATGACGTCTGAAGAGGGCACATTTCGATTTTGATATTTATGAATTCCTCCTTCACGTAGGTAGGCGCAAAAGCATAACATCAAAATAGCCTTCAAGACTAAATTATATACTTCTGTTCATATGTACAGAATGTACACACATGTAGGAAACAAGCTCATGTTTGCCAAAAGGTTACGATGAAACCTAGCATATTCAATGTTAAGATTATTTTACACAGATGGGAATACTAAACATATTATCCCATTAAAGAAATTACCTTCGACGACACAGTATTTTTTTAAAGACGTAAACAAACTTTCAACACGTGAAACAAGCGCCGGATATTGATGCAGAGTTATAAGATTTGAAACGATACGGAAAGGAACTTATTCCATTCCGCCTCTGATGGGTTTAGTGAGCAGATCAGGAAATCTTATCGAGAAAACCACATGCAAGGTCAGTAGATAATCTAATTTATTGAATCATAAGGACACATTTTGAAAAAAAATCAAACTGTCTGTCAAAATTGGTTCAACATTATTATTAGTACCTTAGAAAATCTGGCAGAGTTTTTACCACAGACACTTTTCTCTGAAAACAATATTTCCTATACTGTATTAAGGATGTATTCTTCTGACGTTTCAGTCTCGTTGAAATCTCGTTCTGAAATTATTTCCAAAACATGTCATACAAGTGGAAAATAGCAATGAATTTAATAAATATCATAATCAAACTAAACCATGTGAAAAAATTGTGTATTTACAATAAGTAGTTTTTGAGTAATAAATTTTTCAAATTTTATTACCAATCAAGGCAGTCTTTTTAGCCAAAATTTTGAGAAAATGGGTAAGGGGTACAAAAAATGAAAGTTTACCAGAAACATGTTCATCTCATATCACTTTTTTCTTTTCAAATTTCTTAAATATGTATTTTTTCAATCATTTATAACAAAGAACTTGAAGTAATATGCATTTTGTTCTTAAAACAGAGAAAAATCACAAATTTACAAAATTGACAGCATGGTAAATTTGACAAGAAAAAGCATCAAATATGATAAAACTTTCTTATATTAACACCTACCTATAGTTTTTTTTAAGTTAAATTTATTCAGATTGGTCCACTTCATCTTTATTGAAAGTATGAAAAAAAGTTTAATTGTGGAACTGTGATTTTTTTCACGATAATAGCCCAAAATTGGGCAAAAACTGATGAAAAATGGGAAAATCATAAAAATTTGGTACTTTCAAAGGGCCGTAGCAAAAAAAGAAGTGCACCACCATATGATTTTTTCTTCACCAATTATTTTTTTACAGCTCCTCAGAGGTGTACATCCTTAAACTAAAAAAAGGCAGATTGCTCTTCAACATTTGAATGATTAAATGATATAAAAAAAAAATAAACGTGATTTTTCATTATATGAATGACTAAATTACTGGAGGGGGGGGGGGGGGGTCGGAGGGGTCCTGATCCCGAAATCCCGGGCTTAAAAACATGAAATCCCGAGGTCTCGAATTTAAAGAAATTTAAATCCCGACATGGATATTTGTGTAAATATGGTATTTATGATCGTGAAAGATCGGGACCAACAGTTTTGAGATCGTAAAAAGAATCGTGAAAGATCTGTTGTCACGTATTTGTCATTGTACAAATTATTGAAAGTGTTCAAATCATTTTGTAATTATATGAAAAGTTGGGGGCGATGGGTTAATCTGTTAGGCTTTGATGGTTCAATGCCATTTTGTCTGATTTTTTTATAAGACCATGCCGACTAGTCCGTAAAACCCTGAAGTTGCTATTCAGTACAAGTCAAGAATGCCTCTTCTGATATCAATGTTTCTGAAAAGTATTTATCTCTAAAGAGGAAGATCCTTGTCGATTTTTTTCATTAAAAAAAGAGGGGAACATTTTTGTAAATAGGCATTCTTTTTTAAGCTAGAATGTCAGTGGAAATTGATAATTGATTCCGGGGATTTCAAATATTTGGGGCTGGTGAAAATTTGGGGAAAATGTAGTAGACAGTTTGTTTTTTTTTTAAATTAACAAATTCCAATTTTTATCTTTATGCGCAATTATTTCAACAATAGATATATTATGGAATTCCAGATTGATTCCCAGAGTTCAAATAGAAATGGATTTTAATAAACAAAAATAACAAATTTGAAGAAACTCTTTCTGTTCTAGGACTTGATCGAAATTAAATTAAGCGTATTATGCTATTCTTAATTCATTATCGGTGTCCAAATTGTGGTAAAAACTGAGCTTTTATATATATATATATATATAAGCTTTTATATATATATATATATATATATATATATATAAACCACACACAAAATCTGAGAAACATCTTTTTGAGTTAGAATTTATATGCCATTCTGAATTGATTCCAGGAGTCAAAATTTAACCGTTGGCTGCCATTTTAGAAATTACCGTCAAAGTGTATGAACATAGAAGAAATTTTAACATATCCCTAAATTATTTCTGGCTTTAAATGTTTCAATGCCACACAGTGTTTGAATAGTGGTGTTGGAAACAATGCGTGACACTATGAGTACCGATTATCAGGTTGTCTGCATATTGATATCGTAAAATATCAGCTGCGAGTCACAATATGAAGCTTTTTGTCGAGTGAGCGCAGCGAACGAGATCAAAAAGGCTTCATATTGTGTCGAGCAGCTGATATTTTACAATATGAATATGCAGACAACCTGATAATCGGTACTTATAGTGTCACGCATAATCGATTTATCGGGTTGTATTTGCGTAATTTGCATGATAGAAACAAGTGTTTTCTTTGTTTCATCAGCAAACAGGAAGATGACGTGATAAGTTAAGGTCAAACTTATCAACGTCGGTTCATATATTATGACGTCGGTGATATGTCCGGGTCAAAGTTATAAAGGCCAGGTCAACGTATTTGACGTCACAAAGCCGTGATATGCAATTTTATTGAAAGAGCTGAGCAGAGTGATACAGACAGAGGGACGACCGATAACTAGTAAACGAAAGTCTTACCTTTATTGTATCAGTTACGTCGAGCTAAATTATTTACGTTTGAGCTTTACAGCATCATTACATCGGCGGACATATGCATTTGACTTAGAGTTGGACCGTGTTAGCTGTTATTACTTAGGCTGCGTGTTTAGCATACATGAATTGACTATCCCTTTAGATCAAAAACATTTGTTGAAGATACATACAAGGAGAAAAATACTTATATTAAGTTATTATCTCCAAACTGAGTGAGATCGGATGTGTCCACAAGGTACTCGTCTTCTGTTATGTATACATCACCAGGCAAGCAAATCCAGACGTGTTACGCTCGGGAATAGAACATAATTGAAAAATTTACAGACCAAGCTAGAAAATCGACCCCAACATACTCGATGTACGTACGTTGACATTTTCACAACCTGGACTAGTTGGGTGCTATAATGTATATCAATGAGGTCTGGATGGGGCGTCCTTCATTTCCGTGTTCTTTATTTTTTAGGCCATTTTTCTCTATTCTTTATACTTTTTGCCCATTATTCTCTATTCTGCAAACTCCCTCCACACCCTCATCAATACGCACACATTATATTTATTTCCAGGGAAGACACCTAGAACCCCTCACGCTAAATTTTCTTACGTTATAAACAGAGAGCGCTATTCTTTTAATATAAATGTTTTTTTTTTATTATTTTTCCTCTGTGAAATATCATGGAAGTACTACTTGTATATAAACATAATTATTAGTAGTTTTTAATTGAGTTTTGTTAAAAGGTTTTGTAGAAAATGAGGTCAATGTCATCTACCCCCAAAAAGTACGTTCGTAATAAGATATCACACGCTTCAACAAATTATAGAACATAAATGGTAAAAGGAATTTAATTTTCTGATGATAATTATAAAAAAAGAAGATGTGGTAGGATTGCCAATGAGACAACTATCCATCAGAGACCAAATGACGTACATGTAAGCATTTATAGGCCACCGTACGGCCTTCAACAATGTGCAAAACCTATACAATCTTGTCTGGTCACGTCAAATTTTTCAGACATCTGTTTCCGAACGGGTACGTTGAAGAATTCTTAGGGGTTTGATGAAACGGAGGAGGGAGCGCAATTTGCTACCGCTTTGAATCCTTTGGGTGTCTGTACTGAGACAATGTTGTCTTCTAAGTTGTTCGAGTCTTCAGCTGACAGCTGTTCTGCTGTTTTTGTTCGATCTTCGATATTTTTCTCTAATTTTGCGTCTGGGAAGTAAACGGTCGGACGGCGGTAGTGCTAGTACCCTCTAGTTTTGTCATTAAAAAGCAGCAAAACCTCTAAGAAATTGCAGGATAAATGAATTTATCATTATTTATTGCAGTAGACCGAACTTTAAAATACATATTTTTTGAAAATCAACACATCTCAAAACATGGAATACTGATGTTTTTGAATAAAATCATGCCTTTTAAAGTTAAATTCCCCAAGAGTGACAGGGGAATAGAAATATGATTACTTAGGTCTTCTTTCAACCGGCAGTAAAACCCTAGCAAAGTGGGGCGTCCGTTTGGCAGTTCGGAATGTACAAATACGCAGCCACGTCTGGTCTGAATGGGGACGTTAAATAATAAATTTAATATAAAGTAACCGCAACCTGGGGAAAAATGCCACAGTTTTGAGCTTATTCCATAGAACATTTAGATAATTATCATTTTTAACATTGAACGTGTCCGGTTTTTTTTATCTAACACTAGTGAAAAAATATATAAATATAAATTCAGCAACTCCAATGAATAATTTAAGAAGATGATATAATAACAAAAATGAATAATTTCGTAGTTTTGCTCATCTAAATTTGATAAATCAAATAACCCATGTAACTTCTCCACCTTTTACATGTTACATCACTAGTGATATTGGAAGTAACTTAGCTTCAAATACTTTTAATAATTTCATAATGTGACATGCACATTTCATCCTGTTCTAAGGCTATTTTTCTGTCCATAACATCGAAAAATATGTTGATTTCTTTAAGACTAAACCCCGATGGTTGATTGGGTTATAGAAATCTGGCCATCCGGACTTCTCCAAACCGGCAGTAAAATCCTTGCCAAAGAGTCCGTCCGTATGGTTGTGTGGGATGTATAAATACGCAACGATAGCTAATCGAGGGTAGGTATTGCTGCTGCTTCTTTAGGGTCTGTTGTTGGTATTTCTGTTTTTCGTGAATGAATGATAAAAAGCGGGGAGAAGTAGTGTTTAGTAGTTACTCTACGGGATTTGGTTGTGGTCCTTCGGGTAACTCTGAATTTGAAATTTACAAAAACAAAGTCGTATTCTAAAACTCAAAATTGCTGTTTTTGTTTTTTTTATAGTCAAACAATGAATAGG